AGTAAATCTTCTCTTTTTTGTTAAAAAAAAATCAATTTTTACTTTTGTAATTATCCAACTGCAACCGCCCACAACTGCAAACGCTCGAGAGAAGCAGGTTTTGGATTTGAGAGTTTAGAACGACACAGAACGGTATAAGGCGTTTTCCATGATTGTTGTCAAACGCTACCGCTCGCAAACGCAGCGTTTACAAGTGGTAGCGGGTGAATTAGTAAACCTCTTAATCTTGGAACCCTTAATCTTTCTTCGTCTTGTTCACGTCCTCCTCTAGATGCTCCAAACTTAAATCTTCCTCATGTACAATATTTTATCATTAACCAAAGTCAGTAAATGAAAGACCATGCTTTGTATATCACATTAGGAGTCTAGTTGGACTCAATTCTGTATCCTAAAACGGTAGGTTCCAGTTTTACATAAAGTGTAAAAGGTAGAAATTTCAACTTGAGATAGTAAGACTTGCCTTTGGTTGCCTCTTCACAATGACAATAGGGTCTCGAGGCCCATGCACCAAGCCCAACTCCTACTTGACAAGCAAATGCACATAACTGGGCAAACATAGAGTAATTGTTGCACACATAATGAATGTAACTCTAGTCATTCCTGAGCTGGACAAGCAGTCATTTTGGTAAGATTCAACGTATTTGAAACTTCAAAGAAACAAAAAATATATTTTATGGCTCTTAGTTTAGTAGTTATGAGGTTTGTTCTATTGTTTACTTACATTTCACAATTCCTCGGTGTTTATTTATATATTTTTGACGAGGAATGTTTTGTTAAATCCATGCGAAAAGATGTAAAAATTATTAAAAAGCTCTCAAAGAAAAAGAGATGCAAGAAAACATTTCACCTCTTGGTCTGGTGTAGGATATTACGAAGAAATGACAAACTTGTGGAAGGACTTGAACAACTTCTCTTTGAAAATTGCATCTGATGCTATGAAATAGATAATTGAGTTAGCTTCCACCCAAAAAAAAGTTTGTAGTCATTTGGATCAATGGTCAAAGAGTTACACCAATTATTGTGGAGACGTATCAATCTAGCCAAACTCACAACGAAGCGATGAGTTCGGTGAGCAC